CTGTGATTATTTAATACTGAAAAACTCTAAATGATACAAAATGCAAAGAACAAAGATATTGCATGAAACTCAATGTTTTTTTTCTAAAAGTGCAATTACATTTTTTGGAAGTCAATCCAAGAGTATTGCAGATTATTAGATTAAATTTTTTTTTAATCATGTATTAGTATTCTAATTAAACAAAAACTGTATTTCAACTGTGATTAACTTTTCTTATTTTAAGTTGTACAATTGAATTGGGAAAGTCAATTCAGTAAGGAAGTGCATTGCATTCACTGGATAAAATTTTTTTTTACATAATTCTTTGTAATACGAGATCTGATCTGAGAAGGTGCAACAGGCCTGCTTCGCTCAGAACACTACAATGTTAGACATTTTCAGGTCAGTTAACTTGCATAAAGGTATCACTTGCTGCTTAAAACTGCAAGTTAACTCACTGAGATTACCTTGTTTCACTCTGCAATAAAGTCTAAAGATTGATTATACTATAATGTTCTAATTGTCCACAATAGTTTAGGTTTTTTAAGTTTGTCGAAGTTGACTTCTTGTTAATCATTGTAAATCTTGATTTGATACCATTAGTATGAAACAAAAAATCATTATACACATATCAAGTACTGAAACTTTATCACATCTTGTTTAAACTTGATACTGTGAGTTAAAAAATTTTTAATAAAATTACTAATATTTTTCGATTACCATTTCAAGTTAAAGGATTAATTAACAATTGTGTTCCTCTGCATGGCTAAATGACAGAGCTCTCTGCTTGTGAGTATATATGGAAAAATGGGTTGAAATGAATTGAAATGTTGCGATTTTCAGCACCAGTGTGACTTACTCTGACTTGTTTCAAGATAGACAGTCATGTCCCCCTGTGTGATCTTCCAAATAGAAGGAATTCATTACACTTCAACCATTTCCCACATTACACGTAACAGCAGTAAGACCTTGCAGTTTTCAATTCAATTCAATATGTTCACAAAAAATGGTTAAACCAGGAGAATTTTAAAATGACAGGCCTACCAATCACTGCCCTTTCTCAGTTAAAATAACCCTATTTAGACTCACTCTGTGAGCCCACATCAAATAACTTTCTCAGACGGAGCTTACCCACAGGCCATGTATGACCTCCAACAGGCTGCACTAGTTGAACTCTCTGCAAACCATTTCTAACAACTTTTCCCCGCTGAGTCATCCCTAAACAGATACCTCAAATCAACCACTGCTACAGCAGGCTGAAGGAAAAACTGTACATTCATCTTACATCAGCACAGACCGCTGCCTTTAGACTAGCACAGAAACTTCTGATCATCTTCACTTGTATTGACTTTACTTGTACATCACAGTGTGTGTGTTCATGGAAACATGTCAGCCAGTGCGACAGTGAGAATCCTTGATATGTTTTTAATAGTTTAAGGACAACAATGGATCTCTATGGCACAGAGGAAGAGGATATAGCAGTACTTGTTAGTAGATACATACATTGTTGGTTTGGGTCTGTTGATGGGATTTACTGACAGTAAGAAAAATATAGAATTTAACCTTGAATTTCACCACTAATTATACGTGTCAGATGCTGTAAGGCATTTCTTTAACCTTTACAAAGCTGTCTGTTGATTCCCTGTAAAGCGTAATGAAAACACCTCACTGACACTTGCAGTCATTACAATGAATGAATGTTTCATTGTAATCAGGATCTTCTGTCAGATTACGGCGCCTGATTGCTGTTTATGACTCTTCGTTAATACTTTGGCAAACTCCTCATAGAACATCAGTATTTACTGCTCAGCCTGCTAAATGTTTAAAGAAGTGTCTGAGGTGAGCCAACAGAGCTTTACTCTGTCTTATCGCCGCTCGCTGACTGACAGACGCTTTGTCTGAGGGGTGTGTTCACATAGAAAGGCCTTCGAGATGGTGTGTGTGTGTGTGTGTGTGTGTATGCAACAGCAGTGGCAGAGGAAAGAGAAAGAGAGGTTAAAGTACACTGCAGACCTGTCACCTCTCTATCTCTCTCCCCATCCTTTTATTCCCTTTGTAGTTTGTTTCCTCGGTGGCCTCACAAAGCAAGCCTCCTCTTCCTCTTTTACCCTTCCTTCTCCTTTCTGCCCACCCCATCTCTTTTCTTTTCTCATTCAGCTCTCTCAACTTTTTCCTCCACTCCTTGTTTCCACCACTCTCTTATTTTTTTCTCCTTTTGCTCTTCTCAACTCTCATTCTCCCTCCTTTTTTGCCTCGCATTTCTTCCACCCTTCCCTATCTCATATTTCCCTTGTTTCTCCTCACCTCTATTTACTTCCTCTTTTCTCCTATTTCTTTGTTTCCTCTTCTATTTCCAGGTCTGCTTGCCCCCTCTTTTGTTTCTGCTTCTCTTCTGTCTTTTCTTTGTCTCAATTGCTCCTTTTCTTCCTTCCTCTTCTTTATTACTTATATCTTTTCTTCATGTTCCCTCTTTTTTCATCCTCTACTTCCTATTTGTTTCCTCTTTCTTCTCCTATCCTTTCCTTGCTTTCCTTTTCTTTGTTTCCCCTCCTGCTCCCTCTCTTCCACGTCTTTCTCTTCTTTCTCATCTTTCTCATCTTCTCCCTCCCCGCTCTCCCCTTCCTTCCTTCCTTCCTTCCTTCCTTCCTTCCTTCCTTCCTCCCCTCTCTCCCTCCTCTGTCTCTTTGCCCTCCACCATCACTGGCGCCCCTGCAGATGGAAGTTAATTTTACACACTCCCAAGAAATAGGAAAGGGAAAAAAAATTAGTGTCAGCAAAAGATTTATAAGACATAGAAAATCAAGAGCAGGCGATTCTCTCTGCTATGTTTGTGCTCCAGGGTCCTTTCTGTTCTCGCTATAGCACTCTATTTCTATCACTACACCCCCCCACCAACACACACACATTCACACACACACACACACTCCTCCCCCCCAGGAGCCTGTCAGATGATAAAGAGATGTTGTCAGGGACTGATTATCAGCCTCCCAACTAAAAACAAGTAAAACATCAAACGCACAAAGACCACACAGGGACTTGGCCTTATTTTTTCCTTAATTTCTTCTCCATACATCTCTCTCTCCCACTCGTTCTCAAACTCTTTTCATTTTGTCTCTGTTTCGGTGTCAGAAGTAGCGTGTGTTTTTCGCCTGCTGGGGAGCTATTTGATTTGTTCTGCCGTTTTAGAGCTCATATTGTTTCTGGTGTGTTGTTTTTATTATGACGGCTTTATTCATATCGGTGCCTGTGGCAGCTCGGGTCCCAGTCCCGAGTCACCGGGGAGGGAGATAGGGATGGGGATAGAGCAATAAAGCAAGAAAGAGCTGCATCGGCTCAAAACATGGCAGGCAGTATGTGTGCAAATGTGTGCGTGTGTGTGTGTCTGTACAGTATGTGTGGCTGTGCTGACGTGGGTGGGAACGACGAAGTGCAAGACTTTTAAATTATAACAAAAAGCTTTACCCAATTTTCTTTGCAATCTCTCTGCCTGATCCCTTCATGCGCGTGCACAAACACACACATCACGCATTTGGCACTTGACGTTCATTAAACAATGAGAGACAAGTGTGTAATTTGTCATTCACCGTGGCTGTAGCATAGTGACGGCGGCAGGGAGAAGAGGATCGCTCCATTTATCACCGTGATAAAGTTGACGGATGCCTCGTACATCAACGCCCCTTCCCCCTTCAGTCACTGTTAAGATGACCCATAGACAGGTAAGTCGCAGCCAGTGAGACAAATCATCATCCATCAGTAAGTTAAAAAAACAACACAAAAACAAAATAACAACAAGTTCCGACTGTAGCCGCGGGGAATTTCTGTATGTGTGGGGTGTTCACATCCAAGCACCCAGTTTGCTACACCACTCACATCCTTTATTTATTATGTTCCCTGGCCCATCATCTGCTCTGACTCCAGAAACATGGTATCTAATGTGTTTTCTTCTTTTTAAAATTAAAAATGTGTGTTGCCAGTGGTTGATTCTGAAGTAGCAATAAATAAAAAAACATTTAAAAGATATGTTTGTATACACTGTATCCTTATCAACTTAACTAGCTAAGTTTATTAGCATGCTAAAACGCTTGCTTGCAACATTATGTGTACCAACGTTTTCAGATTTGTATTTTCTATGTTTTAAAAGTTCAGTTTGGAGCATGTTTCTGTATAGCCAGCATTTTAAATATGTTCTAGCAAAGCTGAAACAGGTAGCTAGCTCACTAGTCAGCTTGGGACTGCTCATTATTTCAACTCAGCCCCTTTTACATAGAAATTAGTTATTGCACAATTGATAAATAAATTAAATTCAAATTGACATAAAAGCTTACAACAGTATGCAACATCATAGTTGTTGCTTTTGTGTGCCGTCTGCCAAAAATGCTATCATTTGTTTTGTTTGTTAGCACAACCGTTTGTTAGCGTGGTACAGTATGCTACGGTAAAGTGATAAGTGCATTGTATGCTACGCAGAACTGTAAAAACAGGAGAGCGCCCTATTGTTAGGACTTGTGAGAGTTCACACCTTATTTTAAGATGGTTAATTCCTCTGCTATCCTTATAGGCACACCAGATAAATGGAAATAGCTAGTTAGCTAGGCTACTTTTATTTTGGTACATGTAGCATCTTGCTAATAAGTTAAACCAGACATTAACTGTGTAAGCACTGCAGCTTCTTTTTAAATAGTTGCATTGAGTTTAATCATACTGTTATGTGTTGTATTTGTTAAACTGCCAGCAATGGTGGCTTTGCTGCCATTTTGGCACCAGTTTGTGGACATTTGGTTATTTCTTTTCGCCAACTGAGAGATATCATGCTGTTAGAAATTCATGTACCACTGCTGATTAAAAATTAGGAGGCAGACATGAACATTTTTTCAACTCAGGTGCTTGCAGTTACTGTCTGGATATGGCAAGAATGCAACATGTCCATAAAGCCAATATTTTATCCTGCTAACACACCTTGGCCTGCTAATTATTTGTGTGATTACAACCCAGCAAGCTCCTCAAACTGAGTCTTTCTGGACCTTACGACAGGAACAGCTACATTATGCTCATTGGTTGATGGCTCCATGTGAACACCCTACCACAACCATGTCTCCTGTGCTCCTGGGACATTAGTACACCACTGCAGCTGCAGTCGGACCATGTTGAACAAAGTGCCATTTTCAAAGGAGGAAAGTAAGGAGGCAAGGACAGACGTGAGGAATCAAGGGGATGCTACTGACAAAATCTGAAGTCCATTTCTTCACAATGCTTCCTATAATATTACAGCCATCAGTCCAGGATTGTTGGCAAGTCCAATATTTGAGTGTGTGCATATGCATGTACGTGTGTGTGTGTGTGTGTGTGTGTTCTCTACATCCTCTGTTCTAGCCCCAGCTGAGGGAGGTGGACAGAAGCAGAAGGAGCAGTAGTATGGGTTTGGGAGGGCCAGTGATAAAGGCGGCAGCCCCCCCTGTATCGGTGGAGCCCAGGTTGGAGACGGTGGCCCTCTCTGAGTACAGCGGGATGACGTCAAACTGGCCACCTTCATTGCTCTCCTCCTCCGTCTGTGTCAGTTCTTCGTCTTCCTCACTCTCCACCACCTGACAGAGGGGAGACAATGTAGGTAAAAAAAAGAAAATTAATTTAATCAACCAGAGTTTATTTATATTCCATAATCTGAATTTCAAAAAGAACAAAGCATAGATTCAACCAATTCATCCTAAATTCGTAATACGACATGAAAACTGATGTGTGGTGCATGGTGTGAAGCAATTTTCTATTGCCGGTCACAATATTTTTGGGGCCCTAAACAGAATTGATTTGCCCTCCAACATACCCTCATCCCAATGTTGAAATCACTGCAAGGAACAGAATAAATTATCGTGACAAAAACAAGCAATCAGTGCACTTTTTTGCATGTCATTTGTAATTTCTTTGCATGTAATTTGCATGGAAAGTGCATTATGAAAGAAAAGCTTAAATTAAAACAAATTACTTTGTTTGTTCGGGGGCATGATTTACATGCCGACGTTCAGTCATAGCCACTCGCAGCAAGGAACTGGCCATTTATAGCAGATTTGGCGGAAAGGGCTCTGCTCTTTGAGGAAGCAGCAACTACAGGGGTTCTGCGGAGAGAGCTAAGTCCCCCCTCAACAAACACATACATTTTTTTAATTAGATTTAGCTAAAGCAACCATACCCGGAGTTTATCACGGGGTGGAACAACGAGACTTTTTGTCCTCCCACTTTCAAGTGTAACTCCACGGTGTCTTTCTTTAAAGTTGGAGTTAAGATCATATTAAACTAAAAGACTTAACGCATTCATTGCTACCAACCATGTCAACCATGTAGCTTGCTAGCTAAATAATGCTCCAAATTCAAGCAAAATTTTGGCAGCTATTTTGTCTCCACTGAACTACACTAAACTAACGTTCAGCTACTACACCGTAGCTGAACGTTACAGCTTAGCCGAGGAGAACGCCATCACTGTTTACATCTTGCGGCATCACGTGCATGAGCCTCTCATCCATGAACAGATGCATGCTTCTTTCTGTAGAAAGAAAGTAGTGCCTACATGCTCATAACAAGGCCTGAGGATTATCTTGAGTAACCGGGTCATGATTCCTGGAAAGAGACACTGCTGTTGAGTTTTTCAAATGGATTTTTTTGGCTTGTGCCATCTCCAAAACTCAGCAACTCACACCAAAACAATCCAGATGGATAAACAACACTACAGGTAAGAGGAAAAATAAGTTTTATTTTTCGGTTGAACTGTACCTTTAATGGTGATATTCACAGTTGTGGAAGGCACAGAAAAATTATAAGGTTCTGCTGGTACATTGGACGAGATTGAACAAGTTTCTGCTTGTACTAAGATGTGCCAATAGAAATCTTTTTGTTAAATCATTCCTGTATTTTAGGTTTTTATCACAGCTTAATTTATCCTCATATTATGTATTGTAATACTGTTTGGGATTGCCACATGTCCCACTTATCATATAAGATTTCCAAATCAAATCCAAAAGACATTTTTGAGATTATGATATGATTAGCTATGCTAAAAGTTGCGAGTCATCTCCTCCTCTCTTCAGAAAATACAAACTTCTATTTCTAATGTGAATATATGTCACACTTGTGTGTTCATGTATAAATATGTGCACCTAACTCATGACTGCATAGCGCCTTCCAGAATTTCTGTCATATTATTATGTTTCATATTCTACAAAACACCCTAAGGACTTTCATCTTCCGCATTGTCGGACTTCGCTTAATCAATATTCACTAAAATACAGAGGACCATCTTTGTGGAACAATCTACTTCCATCACTACGATCAATATCTACATTATCTTTATTCAAAAAACATCTGAAAGGGTCTCTAATTAGCAAAGAGTCATAACATTTCATGCATCTCAATATGATGTATTTCATCTGGTAAACATTATTCTGGTAAAATAATTGTACATTTCTATCAATATTGTAATTCAGCTGCTTGAACCTTTTATCTGTTTTTCTCTTTTTAAAGTAGAGCTAGATTTATAAAGGGGAGGTATCTTCATTAGCCATTTTTGCTTCAAACTTTTCCTGCACATTGTTCAATTTCTTTTAAATTCTATTGCCTTTATACTGCATATATATTCTGCATGTGTGAAAAAATAAACTTGACTTAATTTTACCCATTTCGTTACAGGTAAGTGTATAATCATACTTTTAGATGACACATGAATCACTCTTGGTTCACAGATGAAATTAGAATGTATGTTTTGCTATTAAACATAATGTTAATGTATCATGTGTTCATGTGTGAAGACTTTGATCATGAAGTCTTTATTTAAAACTTGAAAGCTGTTGATGAATATGATTCACCGCAGTGTTATGGGTGTTGAGTGTTGAGGAAGCCCAGCTGTTCATCATCAATGATATGCAGCAACATCTGGAGGAGCCCAAGGCTGACGCTAGGTTATTGTGTGCAGATTGTTCTTCTACTGATAATAATACGCCACTCTGTAGTTTCATTGAAATACTGCCTCTGATACTTGCCCGTGTCATGGTGTTTTGATTTTCTGACTGGCATTTTTTGACTAATTTTTAACTTTTCATCATCTAGTCTGACAGCTGCAGAACCATCTTGCTCCCCTTGAGGGTACAGAAATGGATCATGGTTAAGTTCTTTGGTTCTTCTCCCTTTTGTAAAATGATGTGAAAATAATTTTGTTCATTAGTAGTGGAAATGTTGAAAATATTAAGCCTGACCAGCAGAGAGAACACCTTTTTTTTTAAGTTTCCACTTTTCTCCAGTCTGCACAGATATTCTTAGTCACTATCTTTTATTGAGAGTCTTGTGACCTTTTCTTTGATCTGCTGCTTTTATAACGCATGGTGGGGACAGAAAAAGCCTGAAGAACATTGTTAATATTTCTTTGAAGATAATTGGAGGGAAGAAGACAGACTTGGGTTATTTTTAGTAGCAGCACATATGTAGGCAACTTACACATATATTTATACAGCGTTGTTACAGTTTGTTTAGTATTGCTGTTGTCTGTGAGGGCTCAGCTTCTGTAATGAGAATAAATATAGTTGTTATAGTATTGCATTGTATTGTAACTTTGGCTTTTGGAACCCACGTTGGGCGACTCTGTGCAAGCACTTCATTAGAGGCATACTGACACCTTTAACTTCTTAACATACCCCCTAATACTTAGGGGTGTAAACAAATCTAAAAAAATATTGTATTGCAACATTTTGTTTTCTAATATTAAATCGGTTCTCAAAAACACTTTTTTTTAGTTTAAATCCCCAACCTAGATAGCAGTGTTGAAAACTGAGGGCTATGATGTTAGATGTTACAGCAACTATGATCTCACAATCTCACTGTTCTGGTTGCACAAAAAACCTTTTTTACTCAGATTGTATGCATATAGTGTTAATAAATAAGTTTAAATTTAAATTTAAAAAAATATTTATATTGCCTTGGTTAGAGTATCACAATTTATCACAATTTACCGACTTGTAACCCCTGTATCATGATACGTATCGTATTGCCAGGTTCTTAGGCCAATACACAGTACATAACTAGTAGGTTTTTTTTGTTTTTTCACCAAATTAGATCTGGTTCTTGAACCAGTTCCGTTCAAAATTCTTGGAACCATGGTGCTAGCAAACCAGCCTGCGTTTGCATCAGTTTTGAGTGGAACCATAGCAATCGCATGCATCGTGAACAGAGGGTGCTGCACAATGCACGAGTCTCACATCACAAACAACCTTCATAGTAGATAATGATAGATATGATAAGATCAAATAGATAGATAGGATAGAAATAATAGATAAAGATAAGATAGAATACTTTATTGATCCAAGGTGGAAATTCATGTACACAGCATTATACACAGTAACGACAACAATTAATTAAAAATAAAATGCAATAACAAGAATGTATAAAAATTATTTTAAAAAAAAAAAAATTGAATTAAATAAATTGATCAAAGTAAAAAATAAGTTCAGTGAACTAGTTATATCCCTTGGTTCCAAGATTTAAGGTAGCTCAAGGAACACGACTTCACTTGATGAAAGAATTTCTGAATTAGCCGGCGAACGGGCAGTATCCTGACGTACAGTGCATTGCTCTCTCTCCTCTCTCTCTCCTCTCTCTCTCGTCTCTCAAACTATACTGCCAGTTTCTGGTTACCACTCTAACTTTACCGTTTAAACTCATATGCATTACAAAATTAAATTTCCTTCGTGGAATTATATAGGAAAATATAGGAAACATAGGGCGGCAGCAGCACTCGCAAAGGCAGCACACAGCTGACACGCTGTGGTGGAATATTGCCATGCAATGGGGACACAGCCATCAAGCGCCAGAGATGCCAGCTCAGTAACCGTAACCCTAACCTTTTTGATTGGTAAATGTAAATTGCCAGTACTTACATACGCCTTTCAGCCTTTCGACCACATCAAATTGCACCTGTACACTACATGCACACACACCCACATTCAAACATACACTGATTGTATGCTGCCATGCAGGTGCCAACTGCTCACCAGAAACGAAACTAATTATCATAAACACTGATACACAATGCAAAGCATCGGCAAGCAAATTTGGGGTTCATGTCCTTACACTCGCCTGCAGTGAGAGGAGCCAGGGATCGAACCGCCAACCTTCCGATTAGTGGACGACCCACTCTACCTCTGAGCAACATGTTTGTTGACAAGTCTACCAGTTCGGCCTGCCTTATTTACATTAGGGATGCACCTTTCCGTTTTTTTTTTCTCCCCAAATATCAAAGCTTCAGCTCTGATATGTGAGTACTGCTCCAATACCAGCGCTTTCTACTTTCCAAGTTTAAAATACATATACCCACATTACACCTCACCTGGAACATTAGAACCATTTTTAGATAAGGTGTAGTGGAAAAAGACAGATTTGAGGGGTTTAAATGGTAAGACTGTATTTAATACCTTTCTACTCTTTCGCCACTCAGTGCCACTGTACACTACATGCCACACTTACCCCATTCACACACAAATGGGATGATGGATTTCTTACAAAATGTACAGGTGATTGATCTCTGGACATATTATGAAACTATTTTTTATGA